TCTAATGGCGTTTTTTTAACTAAGTATCACTCGTGCAACTTTATTAAATAAATGCGTCAAAGTCAGCTCATTTTATATTTTATAACCGTCGTTGAACAACCGACCCAATTTTGGGTTTACGGCTACTAATGTTCAACTCCGTAGCCTTGTAATTTTGAACCCAATCTAGAAGACAAGAAAACTCTTGGATCACGTATTGGGAGAAAATAACATGCAGAAAAAAAATTTATGAATGGGCACTAGAAAACTATATAAATTAATTCAGCTAACATTGCTTTAGATTTGTAAAAATGAACTTTGGAATTATTAAACCCCGACGTACCAAAATGACTTATCCTCCTTTTTTGAGTTTAAGATTTTTAGCATTGTTTTATTCTGCCAATTTTTATGTTATAAAAACCCTTGAGTTTGGAGCAGTGTCGACTTAGGTACTCATGCAATTTAACTCAAGTTTTCATTCATACATACAATCGTGTAAACAATATCGCCGTTTATGTTATGAAATATGCTGTACATATTCATCATATATGAAATCGCTATTTTTTTTAAGGGGAGGCAGTAGGGCAGGTGTCAATAATGCCAAAACTCACATTTTTCATTGTACCTTTTCTCAGCATCAAAATTCGATATTACTTCGGGTTTTTTTTCACAGAATATTTGCATATACATGTTCACACTGTGATTGTGATAACTGTTAATACATATCTTTGGCGGAATTTTTTTTTAAAATTTGAACTGTTAACTTTTAATTTTTTTAAATGTTTTCTTAAAAAACTTTCATAACTCAAAAAGAATTCATGTTAACACTAAAAACATTATCACTGCATGCAAACTGATTTAATCTGAGATATCCCCAAAAAGATTTAAGTTGATAAGTAGTTTCTTAGAAAAGGTACATCGAAAAAAGTCAATTTTAGCAATATTGATATATGCCCTACAGACTCCCCTTTTAAGGAAATAAACTTACTCATTTCTTATGAAAATAATAAAATACATTCAGTGCAATAAATTAATCGGTAAAAGTTTCCAATTTAATGAAATATACTTTGCATTCAAAGTGAACATCTGTATACTTTCAAACAATAAACAGCCTTTTATCATGAAAATATTAATATTGATTTATTTTTCCCAATAAATTTAATATTTTGTAGTGGCAACCTATTGAGTTTTAGCATTTACCACATTTTGAAAATAAATCAGTTTAAAAAATAGCCATAATTTTAACGCGAAAAACTTAAAAAACTAACGTACCTGGGAACTATTCACTTTCACAACTTACTTAAAAGATTTTTACTTTTTTTCACTTAAGGCATCTCCTGTTATCTTGAGAATAAACAGGCCAAGGAGGGTGTCTGACGGCTCCTGCATCTCACCATAATTAATATAGGCTGGAAATTAATAATCGTCTTGAGATTTAAGAAGTCTGGTTAATGCGCCTATATCTTTACGTAAGGACGAGCCAGAGTTGACTAATGAAGCCACAATCCCATTAATCTCAACACAAACCTTGAGTTGGACGAGATATAGATGCCAAAAATTGGCGCTTCTTTTTGAAGTCCTTTAAGCTTGATTAATAATTTTCTCATCGAGAATTTCTCATTTCTACCCAGTTTGGCGAGAATTTGCGGAAGCTGTTGTTTTTGGATTGTCATTATAAGATATTACTTAATGTAAAAATAATTTTTCTATTAATAAAGGGTGTTTTGTTTACATGTATTTGTCAAATAGTGTGTTGATTTACGCACTTCCTACAAATGACAAAACATTTTGATATCGTTTATTTTAGAAGTGTATTTTGTGCGTCACTGCTCATACGTGTATAACTATCTAATATACAGAAATAACATACATGATTCAAAAATTATTATTTAATTTTTATATCTTGTTCTTTATTCAACTATGAAGCTTAATTACTTTCAACGTTAATAATTGTATTTAAAAAATTATTATTTATAATAGTTATTCACTGACAAAAAACTGTATGGTCTAGTATACCAGAATATGGTAAAAGTTGCCGTGTTCCTGGCTCTATGGAAACACCTAAAAGCTTAGTAGTTTTCACCGAAGCTCCTTTGGTAATGATTTCAGTAAAATTAACAATAGATATAATTTTATATTTTATTATAAAATTTGCTAAATTTATCATGATACCTTTGAGCAGGGCATAAAGAAAAGATCTATTCAGTTAAATTTACTGTTCAGTTTTATTTTTAATAAAAGCATATAATGATAATTTTGAAAACCAGAATTTCCGGTAAACTATATGAATGGAAAAATTACCAAATGATTTTTTTAAATTCATTATTATTTTATTGGTTTTATTTGCCAGAATAGTGTTTTTTTTTTTTTTTTATCAGAAATGCTATTGCCGTACCTTACGATAATTTTAACAAAATTCGTTTTCTTCATGTTAACATATTTGACTTTATCTCCTTTGTTTAAAGTTAATTAATGTGATATACATTAAAATGTGTATTCCAATTAAAGTTCGAAAAAAGTTAAAACAAAAATGGTCCTATCTGCCCTTTTTAAGAAAAATACATCCAAAATATTTCTAACGGCTTATCAGTTACATTTTATAGCTTCATGAAATGTGTCACAGAACTTTCAAAGTATCTTCAACTTTCAAATAGTGAAGTTTGAGAATAACTAATAAAATGGAAAACAAATTTAATCGGAACATTAGTAATCGAAAACATTATATCATTCCTTGCTTAAGGTGTAAAAAAAAACAAGTTTTTGTTTTGACAAAAACACTTGTTTTGTGAAAAGTTGCTGTAGCTCAAATTGGATATATTTTACCAGTCTAAATAAGGGCACAGGAATAAGTGCTATCCTACAGAACCTTTGGAAAAAATTGCAAAATAAACATTTTCCTTACAATTAATAAACTCATTTAAAACCTATCATTTTTCATCTTATATTGTTCTAATAAATTCTAGTTGTGCATCAATGAAGTTGTAAATCCTTAACTATTTTACGGGTTAAATCATTTGAAGCGTTGGGCAATAAGACAGCTACAAAATAGATCTAGCAAAAGCAAATATTAATAGATACCTTTGCTAACGTGTAACATTTTTTTTTTCTTTTTGAAATGTAAGCCTGAAGCAATACTGCATTCTTTTGTCCAAGAAGATACATTTACAAAAAGTTTGCGTGCACTTGGAACCTTTTCCATGCTTTTTTTTATGTCTTTCATCTCTACTCAATCCTTTTTAGATATCTTTCTCAATCCTTCTTTTTAGTTCAGATATCTCTTTCGTTTTACTTCTTGACGTAATTCGCAATTTTTTTCAGCTTGTGCATCGAGCCAAATACAGGAAAGAATCAGCCAGGAAATAGGATTGAAGGATCTCTGATAGAACTTGTCACGCTTTACTCACGTTTTCGACTTATTTTAGATGACGAAACAGAATCTATGTTCTAACTATTTTAAGCTCAAAGAATACTTTAACTTTTATCTCATGTATCGATTATTTCTACTACTTTCCATCAGTAATAAAGTAGTTTTTACTAATTAATGATTTGATAATGTCGGAAACAATGAAATGTGAACTGGATTTTTGAAATTGTTTCCTAACGACTTTAAATATAATTTCTGTACATAATTTTACCTTTCAACTATGCTTTAAAAAATTACAGTAGCTAAGCTAATAGTAATAAAACCAAAATAAACAGTATTTAAACATTTATTTGTTGATTTCTCCAGTCGTATGGTAACGTTTTACCAGAAATTCAAATTTTCATAAGTATAGTTCTTATCAACACCTATTTAGTAACAAAATTAATTTAACAGAATAAGTAGAACTGAGCGATAATCTTAGGTATCGTGATAAAATTACAATATTTTACTACAGTCACCAAATTTTATTGCACATTATATAACTATATTTTATTGTTAATTCTACCAAATCGCTTCGGTAAGAATTACTGTGCTTTTTAGTGTTCCCATAGAACCAAAAACGCAGTAAATTTTGCCCTATGCAGGTATAATGAAAAATTCCAGACCGGAAAAAAACACCAAAAAACTTACTGAACAAAGTACTGGCACAAAGGGTGCCGGTACCGTAAAATCCATTTTTACCGGAACATGTTAAGAAACAAAAAATCTGATATACCGTAATTTTTCAGTAATAGTTATCATAAAACCATTAAATCACTCTAATTACATAAATTCTACTGTAAAAATTATGTTATAGTATTTTATAGTAAAAATGGATTTTATGGATGCAGTGCCGGTACTTAATACTATAATTTGATTCAGATTTTTTTACAGTATTTTTTGATCATGAATTTTTCATTATATGAGACTTGACAAATGATGACACGAAAGTATTCAAATACTTCCCAAAAACTCTTTTTGAAAATAATAGATTATTTACAACCTATTTGAGACACATTTCTAAGCAAAATAATATTTTGAGTCATTATCGCGCTTTAATTTAAACAGAGGAAAACACTGTGTTTTATTATATAGATTTATAATATCCCAGATATTCCAAGTACATATATTTCTCTCAGATATAACATTTTTGGATTATTATTAGTGTATCTAATCCGTAATTCATTGATATGATGTTAAAATATATCAAACGAATAATCTGAAACAAGTTAATACGTATTTATTCTTTTCCAATTATCGTTGCATCCAAAAGAGGAAAAATGCTCACATTAGATAGGATAAGTAAGCGATATCTATCATCAGTGTCTCAATGCAAAATCATTTAAAGTTAAGCCTAAGAAAATATTATTCAACCGCTTTAAAAAGGTTTTAAATTCGATAAAAGAGAACGCCAAATTTAAGACAAACAAGAATTAACTTTGTATGAATCAATATCGTTTTAAGAGTGAAAATTACTTATTTCAATAAATGAAATTGCTTCATCTGGTGCAAATAATTACTTTTCAAACATTTTTTATGTCTTTTAAAGGAACCTACAATGTTGACAGTTTCATTTAAATTTTCTTTCCTCATATAGTTTTGTTTCTTTATATTTCAGGTATTCTAAATGAGAAATCAGATGAAGTGAAAAGTCAAATTTGTTCTTCGATTAAAAAGTAAGTTTTCAAGTTGTCTGATATCAAACAAGTTTAACATCGAATATATTTAATCATGCAATTAGATAATAAAGACAATCCAGAGCATTATGAAACCTTTATTAGTCATATTTGATTTAAAGAAAAGTATTTTTATTTGGTCAATATTTTCTTATTTTGTTCCCGTTTTCTATCTCTAACATCTTACTGTATTAGATAATAAGAATACTGAAGTATTTAAATTTTCGAATCCAATTAAATTGTTATTTCTAACGACAAATAATTAAATGAAGTAAAGTTTATGTTAAAACTTAGCTTTCAGGAAATTATTTGCCTATACATACTGTTTATATACCACGTCAGTATGCATTATGATAGTGGGCAAATTAAATCAACAAACTATAAAGTTTTTACTCGAAGAATTGAATTTAAATATGAATTCTTTTGTTCCATATCATGGACGTGTTTTGATTTTTTTCTTTTCTAAGGAGTAAGAAAATATGCACGTACGGAAAAAACTCAGAACAAAAGTTATTCTATACATTTTTCAATATGTGAAGTCAACAATGTGTATTTTTATGAAATTTAAATTATCGGCCTACACTTGCTATTTATATACCACATCTATATGTATTATGATAATAGATTAGTTAAATCAACAAACAATAAGTTTTTAAGTCGAAAAACGCAAATTTAAATTTGAATAGTTTTGTTCCATATCATAGACGTGCTTTGATTTTTTTTTCTATAAAAGAGTAAGAAATAATTTATAGTAAGAAAAAGAAACTCAAAACAGGATTTATTCTATACATTCTTCAATTTCCTTATAAATCACCAGAAAATCATTTGCATTTTTTTCGACACAAAGAATTAATAAATCTAGTTCTAATTGCCGTCGAGTTCCTTTTCAAGTATTCAATAAGTACTTGGTCAAATTAGCGGATGAATTCTTCGTTAAAACGTCGAGATTAAATTAATGGATTTTTTCCCTTCTTATTCCCTAATCTATTTTGACTGCAAAAAGGAACTTCGACACATTCCATCCTGAAAACGAATCAAAGCGAATGATTCGAGGGGCAAAACCCCATCTTAATTTCGCCAAATCGCCCTTTCGCCATTTTCTTTTATTTCGAGTCAGTAGAGAATTCCCTGCTCGACCAGTTTCCTTTAAGACGCTTAATATTCTAGGGGGTGGGGGCAAAATGAGGAATCCGTCGGATCATTATCAATAAGATTAAACTCCGTTCTTCCTCCAAAACTCTAGCAGGAGTGAACGAAAAGCTCTCTTTAATCATTTCGAGCGGCCGCAGTTCTTCTAGCACTCGACCGTAAAGAACAAAGGAAATTTTTTCTCCTCTTTTACGTTTTACTTTGTTTGGTTTTTCACTCGTTTCTTTTAGCCCCCTTCTCTAAAAGAAAATCCGTCGATATTTTAAGGGGACTTGGTTAGCTCTTTCGTGCGAGATGAAAAAGCTGAGAGTTTCTGGACTGTGGGGCCATAAATTCTGCCACAAATGAGCTAGGAATCGACGATGGGGCGAGTTCTGACTCGCCAAAAAGAACAGCGGTGGACGCGTCTGGACTTGCCAAAAAGTTTCGATTTCGGGAGATTTGCTGGAGTAGTGGCTTAAGTCAGTTCTGTTATATTTTCTAATATTATTTATCCAGAATGAAATGAAAACGAAAGTAACGGCAACACTGTTCTATGCTGCATTGCGTATTAAGCAATACTCAGATTTTTAAAAAGGTTTTTGAAACCACAAAGAAATTCCTTTAAAATATAGAATTAAAGTTTCGAATCTTTTCTGATGTTGTATTTCATGCAATTAATTTTCATTTTTTATACCATATTAATCTGTCATTTGATCATTTAACCCAGAATATTCATACATTGGAATACAAAATATACCTTATTTTATACAGAGATAAGTTGGCGCGTCAGAGAGAAAAAAGTCATACATATCTCCAAGTTTATGCAAGCTTTAAACGCTTAATGGAACGCTCTTCAAGAAAGATTTTAAAAATAAATGTACCATTCAAAATAGCTTTTTTTTATGATGTAAAATTTTACCTACTACGTTGATATCAAGTAACGTATGAAGTAAAATAAGAAATTAAATTGTAATCTGTACTTTTGCTGATTTTTGAGAGAAATGCATTCTTGAAAAAAGCGCGTTTAAATTTTTTATAAGATATGTTATGTATAAAGTTTGAGCAAAATTTCATAGTATAAATTAAGCATATCGTAGACGCAAAATCCGTACAGGCTATGGAGAAAAGTAAAATGGCTAGGAACTATCAAGATCTATAATTAACTATGTTTTTTTTATGTATTCCTACAAACTATTTACTAAATTATATAATAAATGCAAAACAAAATTATCACAACTACCTAAACACGTTAACATATTCATTCTTGTTTTCAAAAAAAGGACAGTTTCGTCCAATTCCTAAATATTTGCTACCGTTGATAAGACTTTTTGAAAAAATGAATTTTTTAAAGTAATTTTCATCCTATTTACAGACCGCTCTTATGAAGAACAGTAGGTATTGCTTCCTAAAATTTGTCAAACCTCATCTTGAATATTTCAACTTAAATTGTGTTAAAAAGTCCTTAGTTCACTGAATTATTATACCACTTATAGTTTAACAATATTATAATCATCGATATAATAGCAGAATAAACTTCGAGACTTATGCCATTTTTCTTTCAAAAGGCCTTATTTAAAGCGAGAGTATGATCTATCTATTCGTAGTTTGGGAAGAATATGGAAGTGGTAACAGGGAAAGTGCCTGGAATATCGGATGAATTGTGGAAAGGGAAACACCAAGAAAAATAGGGTTTCCGAAATACTTATCCCCAATGGAATTGTTACTTGATCAAGTAGCCAACAGGGAATGCTATGCTGATAATAATAAAACAGTATCAGAATCATTTTTTCATGAAGCCAAGCAAACAGATTGTTGTTATATTCTTAATTATCTTATTCTTCGGGACACGCTGCTCTTAAAAGAGTTCTTGCTGTTGACATGAAGTCCCAGTGGTAAAAGAATTAGTTTTATTTTTAACATTTGCGTATTTTTATGGTGCTAAGACATAAATAATTTAAATTGTTTAAACAAAATTTATTTTACTTTTGAACTAGGTGTAAAAATTCAATTTGAAATAAATTATTTTATTTAAAACTTAACAAAACTTATTTATTTACTGTTAAAAGGGAACAATAATTGTTTATTTCTTCCGGAATTATGTTTTAAAACAATTTACGAGCTGTTACTGAAAGAAAAAATTGTTTTTAAATTTTTTTTTAATGTTCATTGTCATAGAAGCATTATTCTTCTTAGTAATATAAAATATGCGGACGATACCATATTAAAGGAACAAACAGGAATTATAATTTTCCCAACATTTTTTATATGCATATAAATAATGTTATTTTTATGTATTCACATTTGATACAAAGATACACCAATCATAGATACTTGTTAATTTGAGTTATATATTAATTAAGTTTATGTGTCACACGCAAAACAAAACCTTTGACTTATGTCAGAATTGGGGAAATTCTAATGCCTATTCAATGTGTGAAGCATGCAAGTTATTTGATATTTTATTCGGAAAACATTGTGTAAGTTCATATCTGACTGTAAAATACATTTATTCACCGTGTAAACTGGTGAAAACAGTTCATTTTTTTAAATAAAAAACATGTCCCTGAATTCCAATTGCCCTTGAAAAAAACCTGAAAAACTGATCCCGACTATCTATGAAGTCAAGTTTTCCATTGGAACAACAACAGGGGGAATGAAATAACTTATTTTTTTATTTTAAGAAAACTAAATATAACAACATCAGGATCAAAATTATTATAAAAAAATTCAATATTCTAAATGTTATTTGTTATATTTATGAATAAGCTGCAAATATATTCAGAGGAACAACTCTAGAAGTTTCAAGTTAGATAAATCAGTGTAGAGCTGCACAAATAGCCAGCATTGCTGCTGAAGTTTTAAAACGAATAACTATCATTCCTCCACAACGTAGTTTCTGAATTGTACTGCCCGAGCTCAACCCAACTCGTATTCAGAAGAGAAAAACGTGCTTAAATTTTACTTTTTTACTCATTTTTCAAAGATAACTCCCTCGTGTATAACCATCTCAAGAATCTTCCTTCATGGACGTTAATTTGCTTAGTTTTATTTCTCATGCAACAAGAACGAGAGTGTGACAGACTCAGTTTTAGCCTTATATTCTTGAAGATAAATCAGAACTTTATGTTCTGGAAAATAATTAAGAATTGTATATTCTTAAAGATAAATCAAAAATTAAAATGAATTTAATTAAATCTAAAATTTTACTGCTTTTAATTATAGTCACGCAATGCTATATTCTAACGCTAATAATCTACTTATGCATTTCAACATTGAAAATGGTAAGAACATACGCGTACTATAAATATTGAGAACATATATTGTTTCTGAGTTAACTTCAAATACATTTAAACGAACAACACTTGGACAAGTTAGATAAAGATGTGTAAAGGAACATTAATAATCATCATTACTTTTCGATAACGCTGCTGTAGTTTGAAAACAAATAATTATCTCTAGTATTGTACTTTGCGTACAAAACCTAATTCACATTCAAAGGCGAAAAACGTACATAAATTCATTTATTTACCTATTTTCTAAAGATAATTTACTCGTGAATAACCATCTCAAAAAATTATCCACGGACATTAATTTGCTTGGTTTTATTTCTCATCTAGCAAAAACGAGAAAGACACAGACACAGTTACAGTCTTATATTCTTAATGATAAATGAGAATTTTATATTATTTAAAAGAAATCAAAACATTTTATATTGTTATGGATTAGTCATAAATTAAAGTGAATTTAACTTTTAAAATTTTAATAATATTAATTATAGCCACACAATGTTATTCTAACTCTGATAACCTACTTACATACTATAACATTAAGAGCAAATAATATTTCTGAGTTAACTACAAATAAATTTA